GCAGCCACTGGCAAACACGTGTGGGTGGCTGCCCAAGTCACCTGCCAGAAGGCATTGCCCAAGGGAGCCGGTGCAGTGAGCTGCGGCTGCAGCACAGCTGGAGCCTTGTGCAGAAAGCCATCACACTGTGACAGTGACAGGCTGCCAGGCTCACCGGGCGGAGCACCCGCCACAGGGCACAGAGACACCCTGTGTCACAGCCAGCCACAGCCCAGGGCTGGCCTTCCCCAGCACGTCTCTGCACCCTCCAGCTCCCAGCCCCTGGCAGCTCTCAGCAGGGTGATCAGAGGTGCTTCACAGTGTCCCGTACCCAGCCGGTACCTCCTGTCCTCCACAGGCAGGATCAGCCACCCTAATGCCACCCCATCCCCATCCAGGGATGGCTCCTTCCCCCTCACTGCAGCACCCAGCCCTGCTACCAAGGTGTCCCCAAGCCAAAGATGTTTGCAAGAGGTTCCTGACGTGTCCTGTACACCTCAGCATCTCCACAGGAAAAAGGGATGATGCTACAGTGCCCGAGCACTGCTGCTGGGTCACTTGTACAGTGACGTTTGGGCACCAAGAGGAAGGTGCAGCTGGTGCACAAGCCATGGACATCACTCTGACAACCCAGGGGTGCAGGAAAGTACCTGGTGGTGCACAGTGCAAGAGCAGGTACGAGCCCAGCCCCGTGCTCACCCTGCTCTGCCAGCTTTGTTCCCTCCTGCATGAGGTACGAGAGTGCTCAGTGAACAGATGGAACTCACCCAAATGAAGCAGGGTGGACAGGTCACTGAGCAAGCAGAGCCACCCCTGTCAGGCCAGGGCAGAACATGGACCAGGACTTACTGCTGCACCACCCCACATTTGCTGCTAAAGCCTGCAGCTTCCTCCTGCTCTGCAGCACAGGTACAGCTGCTGTCCCAAGAACTGCCCACAGCTCCTTCCAGGCTGCAAATCCCCCCCACCTCATGCTCCAGGGCAGGACTGGTGCAGGCAGGATCCTGAGGAAGGTTCTTCCAGTGGCATCCGACCATCTCACAGAGGAGATCACAACTGCTCTTGCAGCAGCACTGGGCTCAGTTAGGAGCAGGGTGGGCAGATCTGACACCATCACAGCCCAGAGGAGCTGCAGGGCAAACACTGGGGGCAGGAAACACCACAAGGCTGCAAGAAGTCTGAGACTCAGAGCAGGTGGGACCACACGGAGCAGGTGGGACCACATGGAGCAGGTGGGACACACGGAGCAGGCAGCCTTCCCAACAGGCTATGATCTAGTCCAGCCCCTGCTCTACCCCCTGTAACACTCACCTCAGGAACCTGCGGGGGCCATTCCCCGTTGCTGGGAAATCTGGCTATTGAAACGATGACAGTGTCAGCTGGAAACGCAGCCCCTCCCCTGGCTCTTCAGCAGCTAACGCCATCGCCACCCGGCATTTTGTGATCCTCACGGCCTGCAACACAGCGCCTGGCACAAGCAGCCCCCACGTCACATGCCCAGGCACCCACCAGAGGAGAGCAGCCCTGGGGAGAGTTGTGCTAGCACCGTGTTCGTTACGGTGAGATACGGAGGTACGTGGGGAAAGCACTGGCTTTGACTCAGCTCTGGGGGCCAGCTGGTCACCTGGACCATCTTCATCACCAGGTGGTGGCCCCATGAGTGGCAGAGAGGGACATGGCACCTCAGTGCCCAGTGGTTAGGGAACAGGGCTGGAGAGCTGCCAGCAGAGCTCCTCTGCTCCTGGCTGTGTGGGAAGGGCTCCCCAGCTCAAATCCCAGCTTCACAGAACAGATACTGCAGTGAGTGGGGGGGGAACGAGCAGACCCTGTCCTGGCCTTGCCCACAGCTGGCCAAGAGCCTTCTCCTGACCCCAGACACTTGCTGCTACAGCCAACAGATGCACATGGTCCTAAGCCTTTGCTCCCTCTGCTATTTGAATTGGATCTCTAACTCCAACTACTGACGTACGTCAGCCCTGGGGATTTCTCAATCGTGACAAACTCGGTGAGAGTTCATGGCCAAAACATCTCCTGGTGACTCAGCCACAATCTCCAGCTCCTTCCCCTTGTGACCAGGACAAGTTTGTGGAAGGGGAACGGCAAGGGCCAGGGCTCACTGCTTTTCCCTTGGGCTTCAAGTCTTTTTTTCCTTCTATTTTCCCTTCCCCCATCTACTTTTTCCCTTGGCTGTCTCTCAGAAGAGCACAAGGCACTGCAGATAAGGCCAGGCACAGCTCAGGGCATTATCTACCACCAAGGATTTAGGTCTTGACATTTACAAGGGGCAGGACTTTCAACACCAGCCTCCAGTATTTGCTGCCAGCTTTCACCATCTAGACCTGGACTTCCTCACATATCCATGCAAGTGGCTGGGAACTTGCCCAATATTCAACAGGTTGAGGTCAGCAGTTAACAGATTAATTCTGCTTAATGAAAATTCAGCAGCTAAGCATCTGAAAGTGTCATGGTCTCACTGCTGAGCCACCAAAACTCAAGCTGAAGCCTCAAAATTCTTTCACACTAAGATGAGGAGCAGGGTTTCCTGCTGGAGTCTGCAGGCAGCACTCAGGCTGTTCTGCTATAGTGACTGTAAGACGAAAGCAGCTCCAAACTTACCCTGATACCAGTGAGGTGACCTTGAGAACATTGTGTAACCCACTAAGGCTTTTAAGTAGGATCCATCAACTGTATCTGAGTCACCTAGTCAGGGAGGTCATACTTTCTTAGCTCCAGCTCAGAAAAGCTCTTCAGGAAGAGAGTATCAATGGAAAAATACTTTGTTACTGAAAATACTGCAGGACACATCTCTGATTACCTCTCCAGTCCCTCCTCTGCCTGGAGTGCAGCCAATCTGGCCTCAGCTGAGTTGTGGGTCTGCTTTTGCCCAGTCATGCACACACAGCCCTTGCCAGGCTGCACCTCCTGTTTGCAGGAAATACACAGTTGTGCCTTGTCCTTCACGTGGCCGATACTGTTAACATTTGGGGAACTTAATTTTAGCTTGAGAATTAAATACAGAACAAGCACAAATGACGGGTCCAAATAAACTCCTTTATTTCTCTGTAATAAATACAGCACTATCTGAATTTTAAGTTCCCCAAGGTCCAACCTTTCCTCTCCTTCCCTGCTAGTCTCGAAGTGAATCACCACTAGAAGATTCCTGTCTGGTCAGTCTGTTCCCTCCAGCTCATCCCCTGTCCATCTGTCCTTCCGCTCCCTGCAGTGGCAGGGCTCTACACCAGGCTCCTCTCTTCCCTACAAGGAGGCAGGTTCTTCACAGGAGAGAAGAAACACCTACAGGGAAGAAAGGACAAGTTCAGCATTGGGTGCGTGTTCCAGCAGCTGGTATTAATAAAAGCTCTTTCACCTAAGGCAACCAGATCA